AAGCTATACCTACTTTTGCTGTAACTGTTTTAAAATGTCTTTGTCACTGTTGAAAAAGCATGTGTTACAGCTAAAGCTACCTGAAAAATGTTTGAAATGAATCAGATTTGGGTGCTGCTGCTGTATGTTCGATAAGCTAATTGTGAAAGAAAAAAAAAATCAATTCCACAGCCAAATATCTGTTGCTAGAGTATGCTGTTGCTGACATTGTCTGTGAAAATTGTGCTGTTCTATAACACCGCGTACATCCAAGCCTGTAATTTAAAGAATCTGTATATTTTAAATTTCGCCCTGAAAGATGGAACTTGGGTTGGGACAGAAACTATATTTTGCCGAACCTGGAAGTAAGCTGTCATTGCTGGGCCAATTAGCAGTGGGCGCGGTATTCTCTGCCCTGCACAAACACAAAGAGGTAGGGATACTAGTAACATCATTGTCCTAATATGTCTACATTAGGTCAATGTCATTGGCCTAGCAACGACAGCTTTTTTTTCTGGGTTCAGACAAACTTGGGTTTGAATCATACCGAAGTTTATCATGATTTGGCAATGGCTTGCTTGTTAACCCTACAAACTGCCAGAATGCAATACCAAGTTTTTCCCTCTGCAGACTTCAATGGAGTTTGCCACAAAGTATGGTTTACAAACTGTTCTTGATTATAACTACCTACTGTGTGGACAGCAGGATTTACATAACTGAATTCTCATTGGGTAATTGTGTCTTAACAAAGATGGATCTAGTGTTAGGGAGGCCATACATTATTCATTTTTAATTGTTTTTCTTTCATCCAGGGAAAGAAAAACCAGGAAGAGAAAACAATGATGAGCAGATTGCCCCATGCACACATTCGATATGGACGGGGAAATCCTTCCTGCTGTGCTATTGTATTCTTGCAGTGGGGAGCCTTCCTCGCCAGAAGAATACAGTGATCAGTTTTGTTGGCTATAGCCTGTGGCACTGATCACTCAGGAAACACCTGACAGGCTGGCTGTACACAAGTCGATCGATAGATTAAGTTGTGTACAACCAGCTAGCCTACACACGGATGAAAATTCAGCTGGTCTTTTATGTCTGGCTTTATAAAAAATGGAAAATAAAGGCATTGTCAGGAGGGGTACTGCGATCTCTTTGGCAGACAATTAAATGTTGACTGTGCAATATACCTAACATGCCTTAATTTACAATGAAAATTATATCTGATGAAATATACAGTATATCTCATGTTCAGCAAAACATGAGCTTCCCAGGTAATACTGTTCTAAGCTCATGCACACATTTTTTTAAATATGAGGCAGGGATCATAGAAAACTGGTTGTACTGGGGAATTGAATGTCTGTAAATTTACCAGAGATCCCACATTGTTTTACTGTAGGTAGCTTTGGAATGACAAACATTTAAGGACAAATATGAAACAATAAAACACTGTTTGGTCAGTTCAAAGGTGTTTATTTTTAATAAAAAGACTTTAATGTGAAAACTTTCATACAAAAGACCATATATCAAGTTGTTTGCCATCTGCCAGATGGACAAGTATCTCGGAAGATGTCAGGAACTTGCTTTCAACCCCCTGCTGCTGAAACATATGACAAAAGGTTGGAAATAACTTGTAAAAAATATCTAGCATTTACCTGTAGTGCTACCCCTGTAGCTCGATGATGCTTGGCCCCCTGTGGATGCCCTGACCGTGTAAGCTCCTGACACCTCTGACACTCTGGGTTCAGACATATTTCAATAGTAGAGAATATTAATGCAAGAAACACAATTTTTTAGTAACACCTCTATATTAGAGTTGTTCAACAGAGTAGACTAAAGGAATAATGGGTTTTAGGGTGCACAACCCCAGTTAACGCATAAAAGCAGAAACAATAGTACAATAGAAACAGTCAATTTGCAATGTTTAACAGATTATACAGTCATGAGCAGCTATATAAATGCAACACTGGCAGTAAGAGGGGGAAGAGAAGACTTGCTGACTTATCAGCTCCCTCTAGGCCACTGAAGCTACAAGGGGTATGCAGAGAATTTTGTAAATGTATACTCAGGCATAAACATAAGTAGGTACCCAGGTTTGAGTAACAATGGCCTTAAAAAGTGAAGAGGTCCAGTTAACTAGAGATTGCAACTGGAGTCCTGTGATGTTACAAGTTTCTAATATGGTGGTATCTGCTGTCTTCTGCTAGCAATGGTGGGAGCCATAAACATTAGTGAATACAAGTAATTCAAATAAGTTAAACAGGCTGTAGTACTTTTCAAATTAAAGGTCTCCTGGTGACTGAGCTGTAAAGATATCTGCATGCATTGTCTCTAGAGCAATGACAGAAAGAGGTTGGGCATCTGCCCTCTCACCAGTCGTGTGGATAGCATGGTCTCCTAGGAACTAGAGTTCTTGAACAGGCTCTTGACCGTCTACAGAGATGTGTAGAGTTACCACTTGACAGCCTGTCAGCACAGCAAGCAGCGATGTTTGTGTGAGGGCTGGAGAGTGACAGTCCAAATGCAGAGAAAGACTGATGCAATCCCAGTGTGGCGATCGGCATCACAGCTATGCTGAACTGCTACCCAGAGTTCCACAGCAGCAGGCCCATAATCTTTCTCTTGAGGAGAATGTCAGTCTCCATGCTTCCAGCTCTGAAACCCACTCCAAGAGAGCGAGCCCGCCCCTTGCAAAAGAATATATCTCCTCCCCCAGAAACCTTCTGGTTTGCCAGATTTCTGGTAGGCTTAGTTCAGTCAGCACTCAGGAATACAGTATGCATTGACTATAGCAATACAGGTCCAAAGATCCACTGCTGTAAGAGAATTGGATCCACTTTGCTAACAGGAAGTGATGTCGCTGTCCCGGTACTGGGCACAAAGGGGAAAAAGGCTTAATTATAATCCCATCTGTAAATATCCCTGAATTGCATAGCTGGCACTTAGCTACATAACATTTCCTTTATAGGACCAACTTTTACCGTGTAAGTAAACATAGGTAACTTAAGCATTTTTAAAACTAAACTCCAGTCCATCAGCTAAATACACAGATGAAATGCATATATAAGAGCAGGTTCTGTCCATTCATTCCTGAGATTTATAATGCCTTTTCAACCAGCACAGTCAGGTGAATGACAACTCATTCAGATAAGGTTAACAGTGGTGTCCTTTTTCCATCCCCAACTTTGTGACTGGACAGTAAAAATTCAATTAATATGGCCCCCATTCTCTTAGCTTATCAGCCTGTTGTGAGGCCTGGCTCACAGTCTCCACTCTAATTCATCCCAAAGATGTTCTACCGGTCAGGACTCTGTGCAGGCCAGTCAAGCTTCTCCACCCCAAACTCGCTCATCCATGTCTTTATGGACCTTGCTTTGTGCATTGGTGCACATCTTGGAACAGGAAGGGGCCATCTCCAAACTGTTCTCACAAAGTTGGGAGCATGAAATTGTCCAAAATATCTTGGTATATTGACGCCTTAGGAGTTCCCTTCACTGGAACTAAGAGGCCAAGGCCAACCACTGAAAAACAACCCCACACCATAATCACCCCTCCACCAAACTTTAAACTTGGCACAATGCAGTAAGGCAAGTCCTGTTCTCCAGTCAACTGTCAAACCCAGACACATCCACTGGATTGCCAGACAGAGAAGCATGATTTGTCACTCCAGAGAACATGCCTCTACAGTGGTGTAAAGCATGCTTAGTGGGGGTATGCTTTACACTGCTGCATCCGACACTTTGCATCGCACTTGGTGGTGTAAGGCTTAGATGAAGCTGCTCGGCCATGGAAACCCATTCCATGAAGCCCTCTACACACTGTTGTTGTGCTAATCTGAAGGCCACACAAAGTTTGGAGGTCTTTAGCTATTAACTGTGCAGACAGTTGGCGACTTCTGCGCACTATGCGCTTCAGCATGCACTGACCCCGCTCTGTCATTTTAATGGGGTTGCTGTTGTTCCCAGTTGCTTCCACTTTGTTATAATACCACTAACAGTTGACCGTGGAATATTTAGTAACAAGGAAATTTCACGGATGGACTTATTGCACAGGAGGCAACCTATCACGGTACCATGCTTGAATTCACTGAGCTCCTGAGAGCAACCCATTCTTTCACAAATGTTTGTAGAAGCAGTCTGCATGCCTAGGTACTTAATTTTATACACCTGTGGCCATGGAGGTGATTGGAACACCTGAATCCAATGATTTGGAGGGGTGTCCCAATACTTTTGGCAATATAGTGTATGTTTAGTGCTTAAGCCAAACATACTGCTTGAGTGGCAGATGTATACTACTAAGTACACTGAAAGGTGCAATACATATGACTGCTTCTTCCATTATGCTCATTTAATATCTGATTATATATTGATTGCTTAAGAGAGATGCTTTTTTATACACAAAGTTGTATAAAGGAGATCGTGTCTAAAAATAACCTACTCTCAGACATTAATTTAAAATAGCCTTATCTGTGACATCAGTTTTTGTGCAGGTATCCTTGTGTAACATTATTAAAAGGGAAATTACCATAACATAATACCTGTGTTTCATAAAAATAAAATATAATATAAATATATAATTGTTGTATGATTTAAATCAAATGTAAAGATGCTAATTAACATGTTTCCTCTTGTCTTTTGAAGGTATATCCATGCCAGTGCCTGTGTTTGGACTGCAGGATGATAGCAAAGTGTTCAACCAAGAAAACTGTTCTTTGTCAGATGAGCACTTTATCCTCGTTGGATCTTTTGTTGCATTTTTCATTCCTCTAATCATAATGGTGATCACATACTTTTTAACAATAAAATTGCTACAGAAGGAAGCAGACCTTTATTTTAATAGCCTTGGGGCAAAAAAGCAAACTTGCTTTTTTTAGTTTTCTCCCACAAACATCTATTTCTTCAGAAAAGCTATTCCAACGCTCCCTGCAAAAGGATCTCGCTCCATTTGGAAGGAAGACTATGCAGTCCATTAGCAATGAGCGGAAAGCCTCCAAGGTCCTGGGCATTGTATTTTTCCTCTTTGTGATCATGTGGTGTCCATTTTTCATCACCAATGTGATGGCAGTTATCTGCAAAGACTCGTGCAATGAGCATATTATAGGAGAACTGTTGAAAGTCTTCGTGTGGATAGGATATCTATCTTCAGCAGTTAATCCACTGGTGTACACACTCTTCAACCAAACATACCGCTCTGCTTTTTCTCGTTACATCCAATGTCGGTACAGGGAGGAGAAGAAGCCTTTACAATTAATTTTAGTGAATACCATTCCTGCACTGGCATACAACTCAAGTCAGCTACAACTTGCACAAATGAAGAATATCAAGAAAGAAAGAAAAATGAAAACAAATGACTACTCCTTGGTTAGTATAGGATTACCCTCTTTGGACAAAAGTAAATCTGAAGCAGGTTCACAAAATGAAAATGTTAGTTGTTTGTAAGTGTGACATTATTCTCAAGTTGGTTTTTCATTATGAATGGACCTGGGGCCAGAGTCTTATGAAATAAACTTGCACAAAGAAGAGATCTTAAGTAAAATGTATTTTCTAATGGAGACCAATGTAGGACTTTCTATGAGGACAAAGTGGAAAAATCCTAGATACATATATTTATTTTAAAACTGAGAGCAAACAAAAAGGAAATTATATTACATGATAAAAAGATTTTATATGAGGCATGCCTCAGTTACCTTAATGTACCTCAAACAACTCCCTGCATCTGACTGATTGAGCACTTTAAAGGGTCTGTATTCTTGCAAGGGGCAACTCTATTTAAGATGTTTTCAGTAGCGACGGTGCCTATTGAAATGTAAAGTTTTGGATTTATTAGTAAGAGTGCAGCAACGACCTACAAATGAAATAATTACACAATTAGGTAAATAAAGAAGCAGTGGATTGTTATTCAGATCATATGTTACAGTATTTAATTTTTCAGAAGGAATATACCTCTTTTATTTTATTGTTTTGTGAAGTTTTTCTATGTTTGGAAATTAAGAAAATATTTGCACATTTGTGATTAGTCTCCTTAGATATGTGAGGTTTCTCCTATGGAGTGATAATTCCGTTACGTAGCAACCCAACATTGTTTTTCCCTGATTGTATGGGTTTTTGGATATGTTCTTGCTGCAAATTTGTGAGCCAGACTGATTTTAAGGTAAAACCTACTAAGGCAGCTGCTCTAAAACTAAAGCTGGAAGGTTTGTGTGCCTTTCACACAGAAAAGTCCAATTTTCATGTCTTAAAATTGGTAGACATATGGCTCCCTTATTGCATATATTGCTCCGGTTCCATTTTTGATAAGCATGATAATCATGCGTGAACGAATATTCAGTACTTTAAAAAGTGAACTTCACTTTTTTTCTATACTGGCTACTGTGGATTGTACCCAACATTCCAGATTTCATATGCAAAATTTTTGTCTGATTAAATTTAATCTTAGGTCAAGGCACGGCCCTTCATGAGTTTGTCATGCTCAATGGGGGCAAACTTTAGTCTGTCAAAAATAAATTCAGGGGATCTAGTTAAACTACCACATATTGGGTTAATTTCATACAATGGCTGCAATGCACGTAATTGCAGGTCAGTGGTGCAGCATTTACAGAATTAAATCAGGCATTGAGGAGGCGTCATAAGGCCTCCTCACGCCTGTCAAATGCATGCTGAAGAATGATTTGAACGCTGATCGTTCTTCAAAGGGCACCGCATGTGTGAACAAGCACCAAGAATTTTCTGTATTAAGTCCACAGTCACACTGGTGCAAATTGTTGTGCAATTTGATAGGTTAAAATTGCATTGCAAGTTGTGCTCTTATGTCCGCAATATAAGCAGTCATCTTGATGCGATTCTGACACCATCAGAGTCGCACCAATTTTGAAAGTACTTCATGCACTACTTTTTGCAAGTTCAGGTGTGACTTGCATAGACATACTGTATGTGCATGAAGTCGCACAGATGTCTTCCAAGTTGCACCTGAAGTTGGACTGACATCCAACTTTGAAATCGTGCAAATTCAAGTGAAGTTACACTATTTCAAAGTCAGATTTGGTGTGATTGAAGACTGAACGTAACGCTAAGTAAATTGTTACAAGTATCTCCTAAGTCAATGTTTGTAGAAGTACTCCTACTTTGACTTTTATCCTTTTTTTTAGTTTTCCACTAGCCTGCCTCTATGTCTGAAAATAATACAACAGTTGTACATATTTTGTAAGGTATCTAGCAATTACCAGGTTCAAACCAGCTCATATTAAATCAAATATTTAAAAAGTTATATTATGTTTCTAACGAGGGCAAAGTGCATCCCCTTCTCTTCTGGGTATAAAATTGACAATCGTATTTCATTATTATACCAAGCAAATTGACATATATTTCATTAACCAACCCAGTAAAATAGCAAATGTTTTAAGCGTAAGCCAGCAAAAACCAAAACTGCCAATTCAGGTGTACCTTTTATGTTTTACGGAGACTTCATTTTCAAAAACACAATGAAAACATCATTGGTCTGCAGATCTACCTGCATTCTGTAGCTTCAGTTAATTATCATGAATTTGATAATTGAATGTACCTGTGGCGCTACTAAAATATCCTGCATATGGCAATGAGTTTTTAATTCATCTCTTGTTGTTTCTCATGCTGAAGAACATATTAATGTTTCATTTATGTAAAACAAAATGCATTGTATATTTTTGAGTAATATTATAAATTAAATCAATGCAGTTTTTTGTAACAACGTGTCATATGTTCAGATCATGTGTATATATATATATGTATAACTTGCGAGCCAAAAAAACTTTTGTAATGTGCTTCAATGGATCGCCAACATTTAACACATCAATCAAACTGTGCAAACTAATTGTATACCTATAAATGTAGCGCTCCCTAATACCACAATAGTAAATAAATATATGATTCCACATGTGATAACATACACCATAAATTAAATATAACAAATAAAGTGACAGTGATTAAAAAATCAAACACTCAAATTGTGATTATTAGCAAAGAATTCTTAATAATAGTCCCATCAATCAATAAACAGTCCAATAATAGTGATAAAGTGATTCATAAATCATCAATTGGTGACTTTCCGTGAATCCTCCAACCAGTAAAAATGTGTGCTCACCTCCTTCCATGCCTATAAAATAGGCTATATACGCTTGTGGTTCACAAAACCTGGAACCTGCCAGAATAGATGCAGTATAGAATAGATGTGAGGTCCTTTCCTATGGGTGACAAAGCTAACCCCTTGTTTGCTGGATATCCCTGCAGGGATTAATCCCTCCTTCACCTGTTAGAGATCACTTGCTTTACTCCTCTTTATTCGTTCCTCAGCAATAAAGAGAAATTGGAGACATAGTGTTTATCCTTAAAACAAAGTGCTTTATTCCCAAAATCAATCTATATTACACTCACATTTAAAATAGATTAAAAACGCTATGTGTCATTAAAGCCTCTGTCGGCCGCCAAGGCATGTACTTGCCGTCTACTGTCTGCTCTCTCTGGTGCCGAGTGGCGTCATAGCCCCACCCCTACGCGTTACACCATAGGTCATGTGGCTTCATCAGGGGGTTATGATCATAACCCCCTAATGAAGCCACGTGACCTATGGCGTAACGCATAGGGGTGGGGCTACAACGTCACTCGGCACCAGAGAGAGCATACGGCAAGTACATGCCTTGGCGGCCGACAGAGGCTTTAATGACACATAGCGTTTTTAATCTATTTTAAATGTGAGTGTAATATAGATTGATTTTGGGAATAAAGCACTTTGTTTTACGGATAAAGCACTATGTCTCCAATTTCTCTTTATTGCTGTGGAACAAATAAAGAGGAGTAAAGCAAGTGATCTCTAACAGCTGAAGGAGGGATTAATCCCTGCAGGGATATCCAGCAAACAAGGGGTTAGCCTTGTCATCCATAGGAAAGGACCTCACATCTATTCTATACTGCAACTATTCTGGCAGGTTCCAGGTTTTGTGAACCACAAGCGTATATAGCCTATTTTATAGGCATGGAAGGAGGTGAGCACACATTTTTACTGGTTGGAGGATTCACGGAAAGTCACCAATTGATGATTTATGAATCACTTTATCACTATTATTGGACTGTTTATTGATTGATGGGACTATTATTAAGAATACTTTGCTAATAATCACAATTTGCGTGTTTGATTTTTAATCACTGTCACTTTATTTGTTATATTTAATTTATGGTGTATGTTATCACAGGTGGAATCATATATTTATTTACTATTGTGATATGTTCAGATCAGTTTGAGTTATGAGACATAGAGGTTGATTTACTAATGAGGAGAAGCTCTGTTGACTTGCATCATCCAATCATGTACCAGCAAAAAAAATAGTTTTTTTTTTTTCCTTGCACGTGATACATTCCAAAATTGTAAAGTGCAACTTCAGCTGAAAAGTGAACAGCCTATTTGCCTTTAGTAAATCAACCCCATAAAGTAATATGATTGATGAGTATTTTAAAATGCCTTATGCCATAACAAATCCTCTGAAGTACACATTATGACATGTCCTTTTTATGATGACTATCACTTGGATGAAGAAGTTCTTTACTGCAGAAATGAGACCCATAATTGAAGCAGAAGGAAATCAGCACAATACTAACTATGCAGTAGGACATCTTTACATACCACATTAAATGCAATATGATATCCTTGCTATACATTTAAATATTCTGATTTTATAGAGGTAAGTTTAAAATAGGCATGCAGTAGTCAACAATGAAGATTAAAATGACAGATGCAAATGTTTCTTGAACATCTTCCAGTTCCTGCAGTTCGACTTTATAAATATATTCATATGCATACATTAAGGGTTTCTAGGAATGTTCTTTTGCAACATTTTAAGCTAAAAATCATCAGTTAGGATTCTCCTTGCATCCATTTAAAATAGATTGGCAAGACTTCCCTTGTCATTGCTGGTTTTCCAGGCTTATTCTTTTTTTCAGGTTAACCAAGAGTGCATTCTGCCAATCATTTCTAAACATCTCTAAATCAGATAGTTTTATGTTCTTTCATGTATCCTACCATACATAGTTCCTTTGAAGTTGCTTGGATAGATTTCCTAATTTTTTTTTTAAATGGCACACAATTACGAAGTCCTTTTAAAGGAAATCTGAAAAAGAAAATTTGTGTGTTGCCATTGCTGACCATATTCCTGTTACTGATACAGTACTTATAATAAGATTGCTTTAGAGGTGGCTTACCTGGAAAAACTTTCAGATTAGAAGTTCTGACTCACTCTGACTCACCCTGACTCAGGCTAGGTTCACACTTACGTGGATTCCAGTGAATTTCCCAGTTTGCAAAAATTCACTACAGTTCATTTAACATGATTTCAGGGACTTTTTTCCCACAGCAGATTGCGTGTAATAGACTTCAATGGAACTGCACCAAAAACGCAATTATCTTTAAATCCCTC